ATAAAGTAAGATAAATAATATTTAATAAAATATTTTTTAATTATCTTCATATTTTTAATATATTTAGATGTTTTCTGTTTTTCTATTATATTTGAAAATTGTAACTTTTTGTATTTATAAAAATATTAATATTACTATAATAGTATATTTGTTTTAATAAATTAGAATATTTAATAATCAAATTACTTGTCTTCATAATTTTTTGATTCTAATAGTAACAAGATTTCTTTGAAAATATCTTTAAATTATTATTTAATAATAAAAAATTCAGATATTGCAACTTATTTTTGTATTTATATAAGAAAGTTAGTTAAAGATTCCATTATTATATTAAAAAATAAGAACAAAAATATTATCAAGAAATTTAAAATATTATTTTTTGATGTTGAACTTCTAAATAAATATTAAAATATGAATTAATAGATTTTCCAATAAAAATATAATAATTATTTATAAAAAAAGGAGATCTTTAAAATTTTTTCACAGAAAGCATCAAAATATTACAAGCTTATTTATTAATCATTAAATTAACTTACAAACTTGAAACTAAATTGAAAAAAGTATTAAATAATAAATAAAATATTAAGAAAAAAAAAGATATCTAAGTTTTATGCTAATTTCTATAAAAATTATGATAATTTAAAGATAGAAAAATAATATAAGCGAGTTATAAAAGAATAAAGATCAAAAGAAGGAAGTTAAAATATAAAATATAAATAATAAGAAAATTAATAATAAAGAAAATTTAAAAAACTAATTCTCTATACTTATATAAAGCTTTTCAAAATAATAATAATATAATTTATAGTAATAATAACAAAAAGTTCTTTATTTTATTTTTTTTATAAATGAAAAATATTAAAATAACAAAAATCAAAATATTTATTATTCAAAATTAATAATTCTAATAATAATAATTTGTTCAATATAGTATAATATAAAACTGTTAGCATTTTGTTTAGTATAATATAATTCAAAATTATTTGTATACAAGCTTTGATAAGTATAATTAAAAGTGAAAAAACAAATATTATTTGAAAGAAGAATTTTGTTAAGAGAGAATTTTATTTTTATTTATAATAAGTTGAGTTAAGACTCAGATAGTATTTCTATTTATATATTTTTTAAAAATATAATTTCAAATATAATAACTATCTAAAGATAAAATAATTAATAAAAAGACAAGATAAAAATAAAATAAAAGATAAATAAAAAATAAAATATCTATAAAAAATAAAAAGTAAATTAATAGATAATATAATAATAAAGATAAAATAAAAGATAAAATAATAAATAAAATAAAAGATAAAATAATAATATTTAATAAGCTATTTTTACTATTTTTTATATTTTTAATATTTTTAGAGATTTTTTGTTTTTCTGCTATTTTTGAAAGTTATAGTTTTTCTTGAATTTATAAAATTATTATTACTATTATAACATTATAATACCTAATAATAATTATTATTTTTAGAAGTTTATATATTAGTTATTAATACTATTATACTTGAAATTTTGTCAATTATAATTCAATATTTTTTGTCAAATTTAAAATAAGTTTTAATAAATTGCTAACTTGATATTTAATAATATAAATTAATTTTTCTATTATATTAATAAATGAATTTTCTTTAATAACTGAAAAATTATATACTTAAAATAATTCAATTAATTAAAAATTCATTATATTCAAATTGTTTTTGTTAATTATATAAAATAATTTGTAATTTGATTTATAAATATCTTGATAATTTTTTCATATATGTTTTTAATATTATATTTGATATTGCAATAATTACATTTCTGTGATTCTTTTGTTCAGATAAAATATTTGTCCATTATTAATATAGATTTTTTTTTTAGCATAACAAATAGATTCTCAATTATTATTTTGTGATAAAAATCATTTAGTGAAGTATAAAATTATAATCTGAAAAATAATTTAACAATTACAAGACATGTTACATCATTTGTAATTCATTATCTAAAAATCTTTTATCATAAAATAATATTGATATCATTTAATAATCTCTCTTTATTCAAATAAATTATTTAATTAAACTTGTTTTTGAGATATTTATTTATTTAATTATATTCTTTGTCTTAATTTTAAATGACAATTTGTCTTTATATAGTATTTAAAATAAATGACTAAATTTGAAAGACCATTTTTCTATAAGTATTACTTTTAGCTAAAAGCCTTAAACTATTCAACACAAAGCGCTTTTAAATCAATCAATATGCCGTTTTATCCATACTGATGCCTTTTCTGGACTAAAGGACATAACCACAATCTATTACAACAATTTTACAAGTCTAATTTACTTGGAGAAGAATTACATGCAATTTAATGCTGCATTTTTTTATTAACGTCCGCGAGGACTATATATACATCTTTTTGTTTAGATTGTGAAGTATCGTTAAGAGAGAATTTAAGATTGAAAATAGAAAGCAAAAGCGAGATTAAAAGTGAGATCGAAAATAGAAAACAAAAGCGAATATCGCATAGAATTTCGAAGTGAATAAAGGTAGCCCAACGAAATTGGGCCAGGCAGGTTTTACCAACATTGGCCTAGCCCCCGGTAACAGTAGATAAATAGAATCTTGATTTTTTATTATTCCTTCGTTGATTCAATTATACCACTACGTTATAATAAAATTTCTATATAAGTTGTCAAAAAAATTATTTTTTTTCAAAACATTAAACCAAAAAATAAATAACATTATTTTTTTAAAAAAACAAGATGTTGCAGAAATGAGAAATCTTTTTATTTATCATAAATAACAATTTTAAGAAATTATTTATTAAAAAAAATATTGATGTTTGCGATCTTTACAATAACCCGAATTGTCCATTGGTAACAGACGTAGTAGCGGTTACAAGGGATTTTTACAGTATGTCCTAAAAGTCTGGTAATATCCAAAAAAAAAAAAACGTAATCATATACGTAAAAGTTTATTCATGCGCAATGTAAATTCATCTCCAAAAACAAAGAATACCTTCAAATCCAAACAATTGATTAACAGCCTCTAGCGTGTCGGGAGAAACTGGTTTTCAAAATCCGAACCGTTTCGAAAACCCCATTTGGAACGTAAATCAAATTTGCGAAATTAGCTTCGCTCGAAACAATAACCTCTCACTGCAACGTTATTGTCAAAAGCAAAATATATAAAAAAACTCGTCTTGCTACATTATATTGTCAAATTTTAAAAGACAGCTAGGCATGACATTTAGTTATTGAAAGCATTGAAAAGAAATTATTATTTATAATTTATGTGCTGAATCTACCAGTGAACGCTTTAGAAAAGACGCTAATGATTCTCGTTAACTGGAACTGCGCTAAGCCAGATTTTTTCTTGTGAGGAAGTTTCAATCAGAAATTTCTGTATAACGCTAAGTTAAAACGCTGTTATGGAATTTTCAAGCATAAAATGGAGTTTGCATTACTGAAACATGGAATCACTGAATAACTTAACCTTGAAATAGGAAGCCAGCCACCTTGTACTTGCACCGTACGGCACGGGGTGTAACTTGGGGGGGGGTATAAATTATGGGATATTTTAATATACTATAGCATTATACACAACTTCACAAAGGAGGCTGACGAGTTGTTTTTAAATAATCGGATCTTTAACACCTTATTACAAGGAATTACTACGATCTTACTGGAAATTCAAAAAATTTAATTTTTTATATATTTGGAAACGAAGGTTTACTGGACTATTAACGTTAGTATAAAAGAGCTTAAATTTAATAAAAATTTTCGAGTCATGTGAAATTTGTGGTATATCCGGAAAAATTCTACGGTAATAGAGGTTATTGTTAAGGTTAATTTTAGGGTTAATTTTAGGTTAGGATTGGGCTAGAGCTAGTGTCATTAGTGTTAGTGCTAAAACATAGATTTTGGCATCGGCTTCCCGTATTTTTTTTTCTTTGTCGGATTTGTTTTGCTAGGCTGATAAAAAAATTTGGTCTCACACTGATAATAAACTATTTCTATGTATTTTTTTGAACACATGTCGGAAAAATTAATATATATTCTTTCGTCGCTGTCTTTCTTTATCGTATTCTCCTTCTTTGTTCTTCTTTCTTTTGTTGTCTCCTTTGTCTCTTGCCTTTGTTTTAGGATATTACGTAATTTGTATGTACTAGAATAAATAAAGGCTTATAAAGGTGTACGTACATGTATTTCCACCTAGCGTTACATGTACAGAGTACAGCTATGTAACCCTCCCCCCGATTTGGTTATGATAAAAACAGCCAATTTTTGATTAACCCGGCAAATCAAACCGACACAAAAAGTGAAAAATGTGAGAAATGTGAAAATACAAGAAACAAATGCCTAAATCAGGTCTGGAGTACTAATAAAAAATGTCGGGAAGACAAATTTATTTATAACCTGGATATATCCCTAACCGTAACCATAACCCAAATCTTAAACCAATTCTTTAACCTTAATCTTTATTACAGTAGAATTTTCCGAAAATACACAATGCTATTGGTTATTTTTGTTATGACCAAATCGGATGGGGCTGCATAAATGTACATACTGATACGTAGTTGAAGAACTTTCACATTACGTACGCATCTAAGAGCACATCACGGCAAGTCATTTTCCCGATTGCGAGTTTTTAAAATTTTCAGTTTCATATAATACTATCTGGATTATGTAACTTGTAAACAAAATATATGTACATATAGATGTGTCCTACGAAAATTAAACCAATAAATAACATAAAATTATCAAAACGGAAGTGAACAAAATATCCTACCAATAACATGAAACTCTGTAGGGAACGGCGAGAAGTCTCCGATTTCTGATATTTAATAGAAGCTGAAACTCATTTACACAGTATGACTATGATTATATATCATTCAAAATGGTAAAAGAACAAAAACAATTGTACACAACTGCTGCGTATAAGATGCAACTCGTCTACCTATAAATACACAAATTCACCAAGCTATAATAATCATTCAAACACTTTTCAAATTCGCCATGAAAAATATTGCTTTAATAATTATTGTAATATTCATCAATTTCGCTTTTGTTACAGCATCCCTGAATTGGGAAAGAGAGGAATTATATCTTTTGGGGAGTCGACATGTTAACAAAATATCCATCAGAAACTCATCTTTGGAAGCAAGAGCTTATTCCGATTGCCAAATAGTCGGATATCACTTATGTCCAGATAACTCGGTATGTTGTCGCATCGACGAAGCGTGCATACCAGACGGAGCCTCTTACTCATGTAGCGGTGGCTGTGACGCCACCTCTGTAGATTGCGGAAACGGTTATTGCTGTAGGTCGGGCCAAGTTTGCGTTGTCGATAGTAGCACTAGTAACGGTATTGCTTGTGAACCTCAAAAGAAATCATCTGGTTCAACTATCAGTCCAACCGTAGCAAATAGTCTAATGATCATAATTGTTCTAGTTTCTCTGAATTTAGTATAATATTTATTTATATTTTCAAAATCTTATACATGTATATTTGCTCGGTTCACAAATGTAATATTACTACCACGATATTAATAACAGTGCGTACATTGTTACTGAAACATGTGCATTTTGAATGATTGGGTCTTCATGTTCTCATTAAAGCTTGTTTTGTACGTAACATTCAAATATATTGGTTATGATAATTGTGCACGAATACCTGCTCAAGTCCTATAAGTAAATATTATCATATTCAACACTATAAAGTGTAGTTCTTTCTGCAAGAGTCTTTCTGCCTGTGATTTGTTATGCAAACTTTTATGTTTAGAGTCTTTAAGCTTGTTGTCAAAATTTTCGATAAAAGCTGCAAGGATAAATTCACAGGGTAAATATATTTGTTATTAACGTCTGTACAACTTGGAATTCCAATATCGTAATTTACGTAACATATACGAGTTTATATTGTTGAAACTTCCGAAAATTTGGAAAATTTTTACTGATCCTTGATCTGTGTGTTGAAAACCTCGCCTGAAGAACTTTTCAAGCTTGAAAATTATCTCAATTGGTATGTCTAACACATCAATATTTCCCTCGGTGAGTTCAAGTTACTAATTTTCAATTTAATGTCACAAAGTTCTGTTCAATGTTCGTCAAATTATATGTAACGGAACACGAAAATTCACATTCTAGAATTACATGTACATGTACTAAGAAGTAAATACAAAATTAATCCGTGAATATGACAGAATAGGCTTTTCTGAGCATATTCACGGATTAAATTTTGTATTTACTTCTTAGTAAAGAAGTTCATACATTTTATAAAATTCAAACGTTTGATGACTTTAGATTTTAATGCACCATAAAAATTCTAGAATGTAAATTTTCGTGTTCCGTTACATATGAGCCACTATATAATATTGTATTATTAAACAAAATATAAAAACAACTTACATCATGTCAAATAAGAATAATTAGATACTTCTTGTATGGAGATTGAAATTAATGTCATAATGTTTTTAAAGAATGAATTCCACGTCTTTACTAATTCTCCCTGAAAATCTGTTATTTTCTTTGAGCATTTTCATTATCCAATTTCTTATTTTTGAACTTAAATTAGTTTGAGAATAGTTAAACATTATTGACGCGCTTCAAATGTGACTTTAGGATGGTTATTTGCACACCGATTTGTTATATCCATTGGTGCACTTTTCGCCCAATACTGGTAGTTACCTTTCACATTTTCCTGCGTATTTCCATGTTTGTGATGGAGGATTGTTATTGCACAATGCTTTGTTATATCCATTGGTGCATCTTTCACCCAATACTGGCAGTTACCTTTTATATTTTCCTGCATATTTCCATATTTGTGATGGAGGATGTCCTTATTTTATGTTTTAATGGAGAATATTCTAAATTAACAGTAGTTGACGAATTATTAGAATATTCAACAATTTCTTCAGTGAACTCTGACATTTTATAGTAATATGTTGGAAATATAGAGATTGAATGATAAGTTAAAAATAGCTAGAATCAAATAGTGTTTTAAACAAATATCAGGAATTTCGCTGTTTTAATCTCGTAAGTGTGCGTACACAAACTCTCCAGTTTTTACTGCAATATCCACTTACACTATTACATGTATTTTTTCCCCACAGAAAAATTATTCTGCCACAACCAATCGAACTTCATTTCGTAATACGTAATTATGAATTTTATCTCATCAACAAAAATATTTTACTTGTATTAAATGTACATGTTACCCCAACTGCTTATAGTACCTTCCCCTTAAATGCTTTGCCACTTAATTGTAATAAGAATTTTTGAAGAAATTGCATTGTGAATCTTAAATCATTTATTTTGTGTGAAAACAAATACTTTGTTCTACTAAAAAAAAGTCGAACTTAATTAAGGTTTAAATTTCTACAGAGGGTGGGATAAATCAAGAGAACACAGACTTTCACAATCGCTACATATGCGTTTACGTGTTTAAATATCTGTAAAAAAAAGTGATCTTTTACGAACATAACAGACTTTTTGACATATTTCTATATCTCTTTTCAAACGCATATCAAAATTTAAGTGCAAATTTTCTTATAGGGTTTTCATAAACATGGTGCAAATAAAATTAATGATAAATAAAATAATACTTCCAAAGAAGCATTTACAGTGCTCGCGATATGGAAAATATATGAAAATTTGAAGATATGCGGTTTCAAATATTGTGATCAAGTTTACTTAAGACCGCTTTATAAAATAACATTGTAATTACTTCCAATTATCTGATCGAATTCTGATAGTACACTATAAATGAAACTAAGTCAATTAATCTAAATGGTAGTTTTTTTTATTACATCATGAAAATTGATCGAAAACATATAAAAATTTAAATAAATACACTTTGATATATTGCAAAAAAGTTTTCTTAAAAAAAGACAAAAAAGAAAATTTTTAATTAAATTTATAGCATCATATCAAAATTAAAATCAAATATTTGAGAATAATAGACATAAGATATATTATTAAGTAGTCTTAAGAAAACCTGCTCGGAATATATTAATGTAAATTTTTATATATTTTCAAGTAGTTTTATAATGCAAAAATAAAAAAAGTCATATTTTTCTCATTATATATGACGAGCACTGTATGGAGTCAAATAAATTCCACCTCATTCTAGTCAAGAATTCAGGCTGAGTTTTCTCGAGAAGCATATTTTGAAAGAATAATTTTTATGAAAATTTCAATTTTCTCAGAGCTGTTTAATATTAATATTCTACTAAAATTAGAAGGAATTTCGTATTTATAAGAGACTTTTTTACAGTTACTACGAAATCTCAGAAAAAAGCATAAATAACTTTATTGGACATAAGATGAGTGGAGGTCAGTAAATAAAGAACTTAGTTTCATTTGATAAAAAACATCCAATATATAATTTAAATTAACTTCGCGCACTTTTGATTTATACAGAAACTATTTGGATCGAGTGATCAAAGTTTTATTAAATTTAACAGAACGTGTAGCAAATTTCAATGACTACGTACTTTATATACTGACTTTTCCTCCATTGCACAAAGATTATTGAGAGAGGTTTGAGAAAGACTGTGACTGTCGGCGAACCACCAGTATGTGATCTCGAAAATTGTTATCGAATTTATTGTAACTTAAAAATAAAAATGCTCATTATCTTTTAAAATTTTAAATGTTATGCCGAAATATGAGACCAGTCCAATGGAAGCACATTTTGGTAAATACCGTAAAACGCTCTGTATAGTACCCCCCCTTGTAAAGTACTTTCCGGTTTATGCACGGATATTTTTATGGTGCATATTTTTATTTATAGATTTGTATCACTTAAATTAACAATGACGAGAAAAGAAAATATCATCTATGTGTTAGCGTTAGAAATAACAATCTCGTCGATATTCCACAACATTGAAATGAACGTTTAATTAATTTGGATCAAGAGACACCCACGCAATTTTTACGAATAATGAATCTCTTCTGATTAAACAAAGAACCGAACAATGACGAGAAAAGAAACTATCATCTATGTATTAACGTTAGAAATAACAATCTCGTCGATATTCCACAACATTGAAATGAACGTTTAATTAATTTGAATCAAGAGACACCCACGCAATTTTTACAAATAATGAATCTCTTCTGATTAAACAAAAGAACCGAATAATTCTTAACAATTCTTTATGCCGTATTTAAAAGTCTTATTATATATACGATATTTTTAAAAATTCTTATCATTATGTTCTGGTTTTATTGTTATTGTTTTGCAAAGTATTAAATTAATCTCAACATATAATTATATTCGCAAGAAAATTTATTGTTATTTATATAAATACTTAACATTTTTCGATGAATGTACTAATTTGAAATGGTTGTAATCAGTAATAGAAGTGCTTTAAAAGCTCGTATAACAAAAAAAATTACGAAGAACCTGGTGTGCCCAAGAAAAATTAAAGATTGTTATGTATTATGAAAAAAATAAAAATGAAACTTCTATTCATGAAACAAGTAAAAAATTTAATATCCAGCCCAAGCAATTACGGGAATGGATAAATAAAAAAAACAACCTAATTAAAACATCACCAAAGACCTTTAAATTACATAAAGGAAAATTACCCAAGTATCCACAATTA